ATTTTTCTTTCAACTGTTAATTGATTGTTAAGATATTTAATGAACGACAATCAATTGATTATTGGTTGGTTATTCGGTGTGGATGTTAATTGTTGGCTAACTTTTTACTTTTATTCTGGTCAATCAGTTGGTATTGTTGATTTTATAATGATCTTTGTCTTTTCGATCAGTGGTCAGTTGATTGTTTTAATTAAACGAAAATGATGATCAAAGATTCACGTCAATATTTAAGGTTGACCATTGACACGGCAGCGTTGGCCTTGTGTATCTATCAGATCGCTTTCATGTTGAATTATATTATTCGAGGTGAGACTCGAACTCGATTGAAAATTTCCAATTCGGCAAAGTTTTATTTACCTGATATTTACCTTTGCTTTTCAATTTATGACCTGATCAATGTCACTTATTTTCAGTCCAAGTATCCAACAGTGTCCATTTATCGACCAGGTCAAAAAAGGTTCGCCATTGACCCGACAGCGTTGAAACTACTCAGTGAAATGAAAGTTAATGAGCTGATGAAAAGTATTAAAGATCCAAATCGGATAATCTCATCCATCCATCCAGCCCCGGCCATTGATGACATTTACCAGAATCAAGTGACCTCAAGCGATTGTACCAAGACCAATAATCTAATCGGTACCTTACTTTGTGTCACAATTTCGTGTAGTAAAAATGGTTCAGCAATAAGTTATGATCGAAATATCGTTGAGCGAGGTGAAGCTTCAGGTCAAATGATGATGGTCAAGTTTGACCCTTACCTGGCCAACTTTTCAACCTCCGTTTCGGTAATGATTGTACCTTGGAAAAGATTGTCAACCATAAATCGGAGAATTCACTTTTTTTCGACTTCTATTCTAAGGCCAATATTCCGTTCGAAATGATCTTTTCCTTTAAAAGGTTGAAAACATCTTATTCACAAAGTGACTTTTTCGATCAGTGTACCGATTATAAAGCTCAAGGTTTTCTTAATAAGATCGATAAAATTTCCCAATGTTTAAGTAATTTAACTCGAGAAAAACTGGACTGTCCATTTAATGGTGTTCTTCAACCCTTGGACCAACAAGAACAATCGGAAAGTAAAACTGGCCTTTTTCAGATTTACCTTGAATATCTGACCCCCGAAAATGAGACCAAATTTTACTATCACAATCTTTTCTCGTCCTTTGAAGCTCAATGTAAAATTTGGCCCCATATCCCGATTGCGACGATACAATGTTAAAACCAACCCAGAACCGGATCATCTATCGTCGTAGTAACAATCAATCAATGATGGTGATTCGGATGCCATCAACGCCGACATTATCCAACATAGTTGTACCTTATTATGATATCGACGATCTAATTGTATACACTCAAAGTGCCATCGGCATTTGGCTCGGAATCTCACCAATGGTGATCATCGATTGGTTAATTGATTGGATAACCAATACACTGAATAACATTCAGGATGAGAACAACGATCAAGAATAATAACTTGAATGAGACCAAATGTATCGTATATATCATGATGAATCTCATGAAACTTGCGATGAAAAGTATTTGAATCAATGAATGGTAATAATGGAATAGAAAATCTGATTCTAAATCATTAAATCAGAATTATTGTTACCCTGAATTCTGTCAATAAATTTTAAATCTTTCTTTAATACCTTTTGGGTATAGAATATGAATAGAAACTTATATAAATTGAGAATTTTCTTTCTTTTCGAAATCAGCTCAGTTCCAATTCTTATTCTTCAGCTCATGAATTTACCTTTGAAATGATTGAGTTTAATGATCAACATCAATCATTAACCCTTTTTGTTGGTTGAGTTTTGTTCAATGAAATATTGTGAGTCTGAATTTATCATGGAAAAGAGATTCAATTGTTTTCTCCCTGTTAATGTATAAAAATTTTCTTGATCACAAAAAGTGTATCGATAATTAATTGTATCTCTAATCATGATACAGTTTCATTTGGAAGGTGTTAATAGTTTATCTTAGATCATTATTCATCTCATTGATTCTGTGAGAAAAACATAATTATCGAACTAGATTTACAAAGGAAACCATTAGAACGGGATAAATGATGATCATCATGATGATTAGAGATTTTATCATGATCTTGGCTCAAAAAAGATGAATCATTTGTTGTAAAAGTTTCCATGGAATTAGAACTTTTTTTTTTATTTTGTTCGAGACAAAAATTGTTTCTTCGAAAGATGAATGACTTTTACTCGCTGGTTTAAGTTTTCTTTCTGACTTTCGATTCCTCTGTTCATCCTTCTAAGATTTTCCTATCAGAACTCATGAATATCGGTGATAGGTCAAGAATTGTGAGTGGAAAAGAGGTAGAAATTGGAATTAGTTTCTGTTCTTTCCGTTTTCGAGTTCAAATGATTTCAGACAAAATCTCAAATTTGGAGTAAAAAGTTTTTTCAGCTTCAACATAATAGCGAATCAGTTATTGGAATAGTTTAAGAGTCTAATCATGGGAATGCTGAAGATGAAGATGGAACTGAAAAACTATCGAATATGAGATTAAGATGATGAGAAAAGGAAAGAGAAAAACGAAAGACTCTCTACCAATAAGATTCTTTGTCTTCTTCGTCTTCACTTTATCATCTTATCTCTTGAGAGATTCAATATGATTTGAAAGAAGAAGAAGACAAAAAGGATCATCATCATGGTGATGTGAATGAAATTGAGGATGAGTTAACTGAGTGATGGATTTTTTGACAGAAAAAAAAGAAAGAGACAAAGAGAGGGAGAGAGGAAGAGAAGATGAAATGTTCGAAATAATTTCCTTCTCATCATTAGAGTTATAATGATTCACTATTAACCCTCTCCCACTGGGCGCATATTTAATTATTCTGAATTACCATCACCTTATACTCTGAGCTTTCAAAATCACATCGAGTTTTCAATTATCATCTAATCATCCCAATTGTTACAAGAGAAAATGAATCAAATTGTAGTCAAATTGTTTTGATGATTAAGTGCCCCTGATTAGATTGATTAATTATCCTCATCATCAGCATGATGATAAAAGATTGACTTTAAGAGGATCACGGAAACTTGGATTTGTTGATAATCATCATGTATCCACTTGATTGGTACTGTGAGTGTGTTCAATGACTTTACTGTAATTAATTGATTACAGGGCCGGTAAAGGGAATCAAATTTAATTGGCAATCTTCATTTGCATGAGAATTTGCATACAAAACTGTTCAGTGCCACTTGGATCCAATAGACGAGCTTCGATTGAGTAATGTCCATTCTCGAGCCACTTGGGAATATCTGTAAAGGGTAGGGTTGCATTTCCGACGACACTTTCCGGGAAGTTGTATCTTCCCGCGGTGAATGGGCACGAACAAGGGACATTGTAGCGAGTATAAACTTCCGAACAAGGTTTAGGGTAAGGCCACAATAGGCAGAAATCGGGATAATCACAGGAACCAAAACCGCTTTCGCAAGGAATATTCACCCAAACACCGAACACTTTTTTCTTCATTCTCAATGTGAACTTGAAAATCGACGAAGGGAAGAGAAGAGTAAACAAATTCGATCAACATTTGATACTTCGGGTGATTATTGGTCACTTACCGGAAGTGGGGCTGTTAAATTTGCTTTCAGTAAAACATCAAGTCCAAGGGAAAGTATTCCAGGAATGACCATTGGATCGGGATCGAGTTCAAGTCGACTGAATTTAATCACATCGGTGTTTCCACATTGAGACCAAGAAAAATCCTTGAAAAGTAATCCGGTAAAATTGAAATTCTGTTTACAGTATTACAATTAGATTTAACAATTAGAAGTTAATTGCTTACAATTTCATAACAAATTTATATTAAACATACTTGTTCAATTTCATTTTTGTCAACATTAACCACTGATGATGCTGAGCTAACCAAATGATCATCAAATGTTAACAAAATTAAGGTTATAAAAGTAATGATTAACTACTCATTATTTTGATTGGACTGTTAATTTAGTTGATGTAAAAACAATATTGATCATAAATAATTTAAGGTAACTGATGTAAGTGTCTATGTGGTTATAATCAAATTGCAAATGCAACAAGTGATTAACTTATCATGATTAAGAGTGTTGACAAAAAAATATCATGCTGATTACAATTGAGATCAAGTGGATGACAGATCTTCAATCATCTTCATTTTCATAATCAAAATCATCTTCAAGTCAATCCATAAGAACGACAAAAAAACAGATCGAATAGAAAATTCTGAACATTTTTTTTCCAGTTCGAGACGATTTTTTTACCGATCATCATTTAGTGATATCAACAAAAAAAAACGAAAGGTAAATTAATAAGTAACAACAGATTAATCAACAATCAATTTAATCACTGGTTCCTAGTTGTTAACTATTCCAATAGATGGCGACACTTTTCAGCAAAATTTCGTTTTCAGATTAATTGAAAAGTAATTTAATCTTAACAATGATTTAAATTGTAAATTGGTAAAAGGTTTAAAATTTTCCTTGGGATTTACAACAATTAGCCTTTGATTAGAGTTTCCCAGTTTAACTATTTGATTTGACTACTTGACTCAAAAATGAAAGAGGATCAACAAACAATTTACTGATTTCTAGCCACTTGATGGGATTTTAATTAACTGTTTAAACACCGACAATCAATGAGAAACACAATTAAAGATAATTAAACACAAAAAAAAAAGGTTTCAAAGTTAATTGTGATTACCAATTTGAACTTTAATCGCAACCACAATAACACAGATTAAAAAACCTTGACCAATGGTCATCAAGATAAAGAGCAATTATTTGAATAAGAAAACAATAATCACCTTGACAATCAGTAGCTCAATGTCTTAATTATAATCTTAATTGTTAACAATTATGTTAAGAAAATGTTGTTAAACTGATTGTTGACAATCAAATGATTGAAAATGAAAGTAAATCATTTCAATAGATGGCGACGTTGTCTAGATAATTGAGTTGAATTAATATCGATTAATATTAAATCATGAATGACAATTAAATTGATTTTCCAACGATACTATTTTATTTTATCAATATAATATAATATTTAACATTAACACCCACACTTAATTACACTTGGTTTTAATTATTACATATAAATATGAGTGGTGATTAGAGCTAATAGATTAGAAACAATTTGGCAATTAAGGATATTAGTTAATTAATTATGATGATCATGATGAGTGAGTTAATTTAGAATTTGTTTCCCTTTCAAATTTAATTGTTTAGGAGACACAAAGTTCAACTTCGTTGGGGTCAATTGAAGCCCGTTTGGGTTTACTTTGTTTCCTTCGGTCCTTTCGGGTTATATTCGAGGACGATGATATCGATGAGGAGGACGAAGATCGGGTCAAGCATTGGGAGGGATATTTACGGGATCGTTTAAGGCCATTGTGATTTAACATGTGATTAATTATCGATTTCTGATTTGAATTTCGTTTACCACAAATTACTATTATTATTTGATTGTTATTGTTGATTGTGGTGATAGTGGTATCATCATCACTATCAATATTTGTATTGTAGGTTGATGGTGATGAGGAAGACAGAGAGGATAATGAAGATAATGATGATAAAGATGATAATGATGATAATAGTGATGATGTTGATGACGATGAGGGTGGTTGTTGGGATGGTGATGGTGGTGAGGGCGAGGATGATGTTGATTGGGGTGGTGGTGGTGTTGGTGAGTTTGAAGGTTGATGTTGATGTTGTACCAAATTTAGTAATGATCTTTGAGGTTGTGGTTGTGTTTGTGGTGGTAATTGTGTTGATTGTTGTTGTATTATCATTGGGGAAATTGATTGTGTTGATAATGGTTTAGGTGATGGTGATAATTGAGATTTACATTTAGATTTTGTTTGTGATGATTGTACCATAGTTAACAACGATCGTTGATTAGGTTGTCCCATTGGTGGTGATGGTGTTGATGATTGTAATTGTAATGATCGTAATGATGATGATGATGTTGTTGATTGCTGTTGATTTGATTGTTGAGTTAATTGTGATTTTACAGGTGTTAACAATGATCGTTGGTTAGATTGTGTAGGTGGATTAATAGATTTAAATTTAGGAAAAACAGCTTGAGAACCATAGGAATTAAATAATGATCGATGATTTGATTTACTTGTTAAATTAGTTAAACAATTGAATCCATTGATAGATGATTGTGTTGTTGGTGTTGTTATGGTTGTGGTTGTTGTTAATTGTGATGGTAAATTGTCAATAACGTTACTCGATGTAATTAAATGACCAATTCCATCAGTTAGGTAACCATTTAAACAGGAACCTCCATTTTGATTGCTGTCAACTGTTGTTGTTGTTGTTGATGATGAGGATGTTGTTGTCGATGTTGGTGATAATGATGAAGATGATGAATAATCAACACCATTTAACCTCTTAATTAGTTTAACATTATATTCGAGTCCTTTGTGAATCCGAAGGAAATGTTTCTTTACATGATCAGCTCGATTGAACATCTTATTACAAACGTAACAACGAAATGGTTTCTCGTCCCTATGGATGTTTTCATGTCTTCGGTAAAGGTCACGGCGGTCAGTTGAATATGAACATTGGTCACATGAGTATCTTTTTTTCTGACCAACACCAAACAGTTTGTTGTTATTATTAAGACTATGTTGTTGTTGTTGTTTGTTTACAGAGTGAAGGTGATGATGATTAGTTTGATTGTAGAAATCACTTTCTGAAATCATTTTCTTGCGTTACTGTTAATTGTTAACAGTTAGAATTGTTTTTATATGTAAATTCCAGCACTTTGAATATATCCAATGGGTGGTAAATATCCCTATGGTATTTGGGACTAGGAAAAGTTGGAGAATTTGTTTTTTCTAAAGAGAAAAAAAAAATATCAAAGAAAAACAAAAAGTTCCAAATAAGATAAACTCACAATTAGTTTGAAGAAGGAGATGGAAAGACGAGAGTTTGTAAGAAAGAAAAACTTGGATAAAAAGCTAAAGCAGCAATGATGATGAAGATGAAGATCAGAGAAGAGAAAAAAAGAGGGCGGAAGATAAGTGAGAGATTGAGAGAGAGAGAGAAAAGTGAGAGAGAAAAAGAGAGAAGATGAAAAAGGAAAAAAAAGTGGGAGACTTTTGACTAACAGGGAAAAAGATGAGATAATGAAGGAAGAAGAAAAAAGGAGGAGGAGGAGGAAAAGAAGGAGGATGATGATGATGATGAAGAAGATGATGAAGGGTGTAAGGCGAGTCAAGGGAAAATCAGATGAAAAAGAGATGATAGAGGCTATTGAGGGAAGAGAGAGAGAGAGAGAGAGAGTAAGAGGGGAGAGAGGATATAAATATATGTGTATATTATTAACATGGTGAAGGCAGAGGAGGAAGATGATAAGTGGGTGGAAATGATAATGATAAGGAAGAAGAAGATAAAAATGATGATGAAAAATTGTAAGAGATAGTTGGTTGCATTGAGAGATAGTGAGAGGAAAGAGAGAGAGAGAGAGAGAGATTCTATCTAAGAGGAAAAGAAAGAGAGAGTTAGAGTTCGGGTGAACTTTTTGTTTTCGTAGTTAGAGTTTGATGTTGGTGGTTGTGTGTGTTTTCGTGAATGCTGAGTATGACATGAGGATGATGAGGATGATGATGATTTTGTTGTTACTTTGGTGTAGTGAATGTTGGATGATGATGGAAAAGGAAAAAAGTGGGAGGAAGATGAGAGAATGGAAAAGAAGGAGGAGGAGGAGGAAGAGAAGGAGGAGGCGGAGGGGGAGAGGAAAATGAAAGAGGAAGAAGATGATCAAGAAGAGTAGGAGGAAGAGAAAGGAGGAGGTGGAGGTGGGGGGAGAGAAAATGGATACTGAGAGAGAAAAAAAGGAAAAAAAAAGAGGAAAAAAGAAAAGGAGGAAAGTGGAAAGAAAGAGAGAAACGAAATGTGAATGATTGAAAAGGGAAAAAAGTTATGATAGAGATGAGAAAAAGAGAGAGAAGAAAAGAAAGAGAAGCCTGGACGGGAAATGATTATGTGGAAAGAGGAGGAAGATAAAAGAGGAGGATGATAGAAGAGGAGGAAGAGAAAATGAGATGAGATGATGATGAAGGAAAAAAGGAGATGAGATGGATAAAGATTTTGATGATGGGAAAGGAAGAAGAAGATGAAAGTAATTTTCTCGAATCTCGATTCTAGGGATGAAGAGGAAAAAGAAGAAGATCGAGACAAGAAGGAGTGGGAGGTAGAACATGGGTGGAAGGGAGAGAGGAGTAAATGATGATGATGATGGAATAGCAAAGAGAATGAAGAGGAGGTGGAGGAGTGGGTGGAGAAGGGAAGAGAGTGGTAAAAGTACAGGGAAAGGGAGGGAAAGGAAAGAAAATAGCAGAGAGAGAGAGAGAGAGAGAGAGGAAAAAGTTGATCCAACACACAGAAAGTTTTTGGAAATGATGATGATGAGGAAAAAAGTGGGTGGAGGGCAATATGATGATGTTGATGATGATGATGGTGATGGTGATGATCATCATGAGAGATGGAAAAATGTAAAAGAAAGAGAAGAAGAAAGAGATTGAGAAAGGGTGGTAAGGAGGGCGGAGAGGGAATTAAGACGAAAAAGGAAAGGAAACTTTATCGCTAATAGACAGAGGGAAGAGAAAGAGGAAGAGATAATAAGAGAGAGAGAGAGAAAGGAAGATAAGATGAAGATGAGCCAAAAAACAAAAAGGGGTTGATGATGATGAGATTTTTCATCTTCCACCCAACAACATTTCATATCTTCAATGATAATAATGTAATGAGATGTGTTTGTCTTTTATCAACAGAATAGGAACCAAGCCTAAATCAAATGAGTATAAGTAGAGGTAGAAACGATGATGATGATAGAAAGAGAGAGAAAGAGAGATTCCATAATTTTCTCTCTCACACCACCATCATCTTCTATTACCACCAAGCCCACTCTCTTCTTTTCATCTTTTTCTCTCTCTCTCCCACTTTTCTTCTTGTTCGTTGTTAACTTTTCTCTCTCTTCTTTTTCCTTCTCTAAACTAATATATTTTACCTTTACCTTTTTTCCTCCTTAAAAACCTTCCCTCCCTCTTCCCTCATCATCTTCTTCCTCCACCTCACCATCATCATCATCATCATCAACAACAACTTCTTTTCTTTACCTGTCTCTTTCTCTACCCACTTTCCACCCCACTCACAACAACAACCCACCCGTTTGTTGTTGTAAGAGAAAAAGAGAGAAGAGAAAAAAAAATCTTCTTTGAGTTTTTCCTTCTTTCCTGAATCAAGGTTTTCTACTCTTTCAGAATATTATTCATCATGAATGATTATCATGGTTAATCTGAAACTTAATTCTCTCTCTCTCTCTTTAAACTCTAAATATGAACATGATCAACTTGTTGATTAATTGTTGTTCGAGTTGTTGATGTTGTTGTTGTTACTTCAATTCCTTCAAGTCAATGGTTAAACTTTTAATTGTCTTTCATTTGGTTAAGATTTTTTTTTTCTTCTTCCTCTAATTGGTTAACTAAATTTATTTACTCTTTAATTGTTGTGAACAGTATATTTGTTTCACTTAATTGCTGCTGATTGTTTAACCATAATGTGGTTACATGGATCATTGATTTAAACGAAAAACTTTTGTTTACTTTTTTTTTCTTCTTCTTCTTCACCTTCCTAAACAATTAACACTTAATTAATGGATAATCTTAATCATCTGCGAAACAATTTGAATAAAATTTACACGTACAGATAATTGAATCTAATTATACAAATAAAATGAGACAATCAACTATCAAACTAATATAATAATGATCAGGTTGATGATTAGTTTGATTAGTGATGATCGGTTAACTTTTTTTAAACGATTCGGTTTCTTTCCTGTTTCAACAATTAACTATTAACTATTTAATTATTTTCTTTCATTTTTATTGTTGTTGCTGTTATTATCTCTTAATCAAGGTTAATTATTTAGAGAGAGAGATTATCATTTAATTGTAAGAAAACAAATTGTTAATCGTTTGAAAATTTTCATCAAGCAAATTTAATGGAAAATTTTTTCTTCTTTTTCCAATTAATTAGTTAATTGTTACAATCTAATCATTTCTTTTCTCTGTAACTTTTTCCACGTTTTAATTATCATTGATTTAATTATTCGCGCAGTGATTAATAGACGATTCTTTTTGGAAATTATTTTAAAAAATCTTTTCGATTCCATTTTCTCAACAATTAATATTTAAATTTAATTCTCGTCGGTTAAAATAGCCAATCGAATGTCTATTTTAACAGCTCAGCCGAAAAGAGAAAAGAAAGAGGCAAAAGTAGTGACATCTGTTGGCTCGAATTTCTACTTTTTCTGGAGAATAGAATTTACTGTTTGTTATTAGAATACGTTCCCTTTTTCCCTCTAATTCTTTTTTGGTTTTTTTTTCACTTTGGTTACAAAATTTAAATTCATCTTGATTAATTGTTCCTTTTGATTTTGGAACAATTTATTTTCGCTTTAATTTGTTAAATTGTTAATCAATTTAGTTGATTGATTTGTTTACCTTAGTTGTTTAACTGATTGTGAACAGTGATTGTTTATTGGAATACCAGGTAAGCTAATCGATTTCAAATGGATTTTCTCTTGTCAAATGTTGATGCAATTTCTTTTTCTTTTTTGCATTGTGTTAGAACCAATTGTCATTAATATTATCTACTTATTGGTTTTGATTGAATTCTTTTTTTATTAATAATTCACAGTTTCAATTGTCGATGGGTTTTTATTTTATTCAATTTTGTTGCTCAGTTTTCATTTAATTGATGGTTTATTTGGTGTTTTGATTGTAAATGTGTTTTCTTTTTTTTTGGTGGAAAATCAAAAGATAGATCAGTTGTGATTTCTGTTTTAATTCTGATTTTTTGTTCTTTTGTCTCCTATCTTCATCTCATCTTTTCTTCTTTCTTTTTTCTCTTTCTTTTACTTTCTCTTAGATTTTTTTCCCTGCTTCTTTAACTTGGTTTTTCTATCGAATTATATTAAGAATCCTCAATTTTAACTGGAAAATCAAAACACCTAAAGGAGAATATAAACCAACCATTGTTGAAAGAGAATTTTTTTTTGGATTTTGGATTATTCCATCTGGTCAAACTCATTTGTTCTCTTTCGACCATTTCATCTTCTCGCCTTTTTTTCTACTTATTCTTTAATTGTTTTATTCGGTTAAAGGTTTAATTATGGGTTATCTTTAAATTCTTCATGTTTGGCCGAGGTGAATTATGATCAGGATACCTGAAAAGAGCTGTTTGTAATAATATTGTCGCTGGACCGGTAACACTTCCTGTGTATACAAAAAGATATGTTGAACTGTGTTTTCGAACTACTTTTGTCAAAATTTACTACTTCCATTCTTATCATTAGATGATAATGAAAAATTGATTGGTAATTAATACTCACTGATATCAAAATTGTCTTGAATACAAGTGGACCTAATCTCATTAGACTAAATATTAAAATCTTCCATCGGCTATCTACTTAAAAAGAAAGGTAATTAGCGTTTTTGATTTTATTTTTCTTCCAATGAAATTATATTTGAATGGTAATTTTAATTTAATTTTTCTTTTCATTTTCACAGATAATACTCTCAATTTTATTTTCTACTTAGCCTTCAAAGACTTTCAGTATAATTCATATTTTATACTATTGCTTTGTTGGAGTTTAATTTTTCTACTCACGCCATTCAAGACAAAGAACACAACCAACCTGTTTAGAATTAAACAAAGTTACACAATAATTCACCATAATCATGGATAATAACACAAGTGACGGTGATGTTGAAGAGCGAACAGATTTAGACAGAAACGATTCATCAGATGGTGATACTGTTACCGAAGACTCTCTTCCATCAACTTCTCATAAAAGTCAAGTTGGACGTAAATCTTTGTCAGGACAAATTTGCTCCTTAAAAACTTTAATCGATGATCAAATTGTCGACCCTGGAAACAATGTACTTACCATGGACTATTATGGTACTAAATTTGATGCTGACTTATTACCCAATGGTAATATAAGATGGGCTCAATCAAAGCAAATATTTACTACACCCAGTGCCTGGTTTAATCACTGTAAGAAACTTGTCAATCCAGAGAGTAGTAACAGTAAACCTGGTTCAGCTTGGTCTACAATCAGGTATCGACGAAAGCGACTCGATTCATATAAATTAAGATGGTATCGAAAGCAAAGAAAGATTGTCACCTCGGCCAACATGTACGATTCAGCAATGGTTTATTCCAAGGCAGCCTCAGACTATTTAACCCATTCCCAAAGTGTTTCATCTGATTCTTCCCCTGTCCCATTAACTTTTTTACCTGACAATTATCCAATGAAAGAGAAAAATGTTGTTGAACATCATACTCTTGCCAGTAAACTTATCCAACAGGATACCAATACCATGGTTAAATGTATTCCATTCAGTGCCCTGGAAAGGATTCAGCCTTTTACCTTAACAATTTCAACAAATGCTCTTTTAACAATTGATTTCCATTGTCATTTAACAACCGGTGAAGTTGTCGGTTATCTTGGCGGTTCTTGGGATATTACAACTCATAATTTGTCAATTCTACAAGCATTCCCTTGTAAAACTCGACTTGGTGATAAAGAAAGATCTCGAAAAGTTGAAGAAGAGATTAGACAAAATATGGATCAGAAAAAATTGACCATCGTTGGCTGGTATCATAGTCACCCGAAAGCAGCCCCTCAACCCACCATACGAGACATTGAATCTCAAATGGATTATCAGATCGCAATGAAAGGTGATACTGATGCAACTTACATTCCCTGTATTGGATTAATTTGTTCACCTTACGATGAAGATAATCCAAGATTAACCTCAAGGTATCAAGCTTTTTGGGTTATGCCTCCAAATGAATTTAAACCCCTTGAATATGGGCGACCCATGCAGATGACTTACAGTGTGACCAGAGATTCATTTCTAACACAAGATTTACTATTAGACATGGTTAGTATACTTTAGATGAAAATTTTTAAACAAAAATATCACAATAATTATTTTCTTCTAATTATTTTTTTCTTTCCATTTATTAACTTTTTCTTGTTCAGCGTTTACTTGCTCATTATTATATTGATGGTCCAGACGCGATTAAATTTTCCGATAATTACTCAACTAAAGAGAAAACTTTTTGGCACAAACTTCAGGCCTCTTTAAAGCCATTTTTACCCCGAGATCTCACCACTACCGTTAATCAAACTCCAGCTCAGACACAAGTCCAACAACAAGCACTTTCCCATTTCTGGGCTTTTCTCAAAGGACTTTTACTCCCTTGAAGTAATTTCCACTTCATACAATTAACAAAATCGTCCAATTCCATGACAAAACAACAATCCCCTTTTATCTCTAACAAGAATACAATTGATATTTATTCATAATTTTCATTAATCGACAAACTCCACACCAAACCTGATTAAAGAGCGATGGATAAAACTTGATCTCAGCAATAATGTCTAACCAATTGACAAAGGGAAATTCTTACATTGTAAAAAACAACAACAAATAGTGAACCAAATTAATAAATAGTAATAACATTTAGCTCTTAAATACGTAATTCACTTCAACTTTATAGTTGTTTTAATCTAAATTTTCTCAAGACCATCTAAAAATTCATTAGTTTGAATTACAATTTTCTTCCTTGATGATGAACAATGGGGATAAATCTGGTTAACAGGTAAATCGGATAAATGTCTCTTGAGAGGTGAACAAAATTAAACATCCCATTCTTTTTTCTGCTCTTTCTCATGATCGGCTTTACGTTTAGCGACCCAATAAGCCTTATTTTCGGGTGAGTTCACTAATCGATGGAAATAATATTGCAAGGGAAGTCCAACAAAGACCGTAGAGAGGAAAACATAACGCATATACCAATTAGATCTGGCTAAGCCTCTCCAATCAAAATCAAGGAAACTAAACTTGTTGTAATTAACAAGTTGCTTCTTGTAAACTTTTCCATTAAATACAACCGATGGTGTATCAACAATGGGACCAGTGATTTTAACCATGATGATAGAATTAAATGAAAATATTCACCAAAAAATGAGAGCACAAACTTAGGAAGGATTAATGAAGAATCGGATTCACAATAACCTCCAATAAGAAATCCAAATGACCTTCACCAGATGAAAAAAAAGAACATACAAAAGATGATTAGAGAAATTATGAACCATAAAACCGACAAGTAGACAAGAGAAAAGATTGAATACTTACCAGAGGATAATTAAATTAACTAGAAATCAGTTAACTAATTAATTAGAAATAAATAAACACCAATCTAAAGGTTGAATTTTCAAAAATTTTCTTTTCTATAGAGAAACAGATGAAAACATTTCGATTATCATTCGATAGAACAAAAATCGATCTTTCTAAGAAAAGATCGATTATTTTCGATAAGTTGACTTTCTATCAGCCGATTGATTCAACATTTCGGGTTGTAATTGCAGGTGAAAGTAATGATGTTGAATAGGCGGCAAGTTGAGAGGGTGTTTGTTGGTTTAAACCATTTTTTACGTCTTTGTGATGAATTAAGTGAATTTTGGGTTAACTGGTTAGTTCGTTTATTGTGTAATAATTGAACTTCATCCATTTGCGAGATAGTAAAGCTTTCGATTGGAAAAAGAAACGAACAAAGTAGAGAGAGAGAGAGAATAGACTTCGACTTTATTATGGGTCCAAAAAATGAAGAGATTACTGGATAATCTAGTAGATTAAGTGGACTCGAGAAAACAGATCAAAACTCTCGGCGATTAGAAGGCGAATATTCGATTAATATTTGAGATTCGGTTAATTTATCTTAAGATAAGGGAAAAGCAAAATTAATGCATTATTATTAAACAAAAAGACAATTAATAAAACTAAAGATCTTTAATTACAAGTTTTTCTTTCTTTTCCTCTTCCTTTAAATGTAAACAACGTTAAGAGGTTGAAAAAAGATCCTCTGGAAATGGTCGCTGAGATTGATGGTGAGGCCGATCAACTGGAATCTGAGGTGGAAAAGTTTGACGGAGAATATCAAGGTAAAGAGTATAGATACCTGGATGAAATGCTAACAAGGTGCATGTTGAAATTGGATAATATCGATTCAAATGGACGGGAAGATGTGAGAAGCGCTCGAAAGACAACATTGAATCGGCTTGATAAATGTACACAATCATTGGAAATCAAGGCGACCAGTAAATCAAAACAATCAGGGAACAATAAAGAGGACGAAGACGAAGAAGAAACCAAAGATTAATTGGAAAATATCCATGACCAATTGATTGTTACAATCAAAATCTCCTCAATGTATTTCCTATCAGAAAAGCTCGTAACTCCCTGTTTTCTGAAAATCTTTTTGTTTGTGAATTCAAGTTCAATCGCATGACTATGACCAGAATTTGAATCGATTTATCGGAGTCCATGATTTACATGATCCTTCATTGAACCACCAACTAACCAGATCTTTATGTCGACGGTTACATAATACATTTGATCGTCTTAATTGACGGTGATCTTTGGTTGGTGATGAAAATGAAAATCTACTTTGAGTTGATTGTTTCAATCTGGAGCATATTTGGCAAAAAAGTGTTCGATAATCGTTATTGTTAATCGTGAAGCGAGATTTCCACTCAAAATATGAATTGTATCTTTTCTCATCGGCAGATAGACTTCGTAATAACATTGCCAAGTATCGAGGTGATTTAAATGAAAGAGCATCGATATACGAATGATTTGGTAAAACTGATGAATAATTGGCTCCACCGAGAACAATGGGAATGACTGTGTAATTAAGAAGATTGATTATCTTCTCGGTATAATAATCGGTACAGATTGAATTCTCGAAAGACAAGTAGTATCGATACTTTTTCTCAAAATATTCGTAACAATATGATCCTTTTGAACTTGGACATTTAAATGAACCACAAGCACCATAAATGTCAACATCAATGTAACGAGCTAACTCTTTAGCATATTCATCTCTTCCCGATGAGGCTCCACAATTGGAAACCATCCAGGCCACATTACGACTTTTCTTTGAAAAGGGAACACTAACTGATTTGTGAGATTCATGAGATTGATTTTTTGGTATAATGGTTCCATATGGAGTTGGAAAATCTGAATCAGCTCGATAACTGGACCAACAATCAATGTAATTAGAGAAAGCGGTTAAACTAGATCGTCTATAAGTGTTCATTGGAGATTCCATATGATGCCAGATCCACGTTTGACCTTCAAATTTATATTTAGGCAAATCTTTGAGATTAGTGTTCCGCCAATAGAAAATTACAACTTTCGCTTGAGGTAAGAGACTTCGATTTCGAGTGACAATACAATCACAACCTAACGGTAAACTCGTAGCTCCCCACCATGAATCACTATCGAAGGCAGGTGTCCACAGGAGGATAATCGGTTGGACGGCAGGATTGATTGCTGGAGATTCTGGTGATTCTCGGACTGGTGGATCAGCTGGTTTGATGATAAAATAGAGGCAAAAGAGGAGACCAGCAATGACCAGAGTCCAGTGTCGATATGTATTGTTGACAAAGAAAAACATTCAATTAATTGAATATAAACCAAATAGTAAAGAAATACCGGTTGTCTCCTCAATGTTGTTTGTTTGTATTTACATTAACATATGAAAGGTAATAAGTGCCCCCTGGTCAACAATAACCAGAGTCCATTTTTTACGTCTTTGTGATGAATTAAGTGAATTTTGGGTTAGCTGGTTAGTTCGTTTATTGTGTAATAATTGAACTTCATCCATTTGCGAGATAGTAAAGCTTTCGATTGGAAAAAGAAACAAACAAAGAGAGAGAGAGAGAGTGAATAGACTTCGACTTGGAGATGATTAATGCGATTATTGATTATATGTGGACCTGCAATTCTTTTCGTTTAATTGTTCTTCTTTAGATCGTTACTTTGATTGTTTCACTAGTTTTTAGAATTTCTTCCGAATCTTTGATCGAGTTAGAAATAAGTTCAGAAGGAATTCGATTGGATTTTTATATGTTGATTGAATAGTTGGTTAATTGTTTGTAGATCTGATATTATTTTTTGACCATAATTTGATTATTTTCCAATATGATGTTGATCCGATGAATCCATTGTTATTAGTCAATTTTTCATTTTTTGTCTCGTGTAGATTTTTGTACCAAATGTCCTCGCCTTTGCGTAGCCATGAATCGTGTCTCAATATTATCTGTTCTTCTTGTTTTCAGAATTTCGTCGACATCCGGTCAATTGAAATGAGCTATTAAAGATGTACGACCCATTTTGATAATGTCACAAGAGGTAGTTTTCTAATTGCTCAACGAGATCCATTTCGTTATTAATTCACGACGGAGATTTGTTTTCAGTTTTCCATGTAATGTTATGTATGGTTTTGTTTTTGTTTTTGTTTTTGTCGCTTTTATCATTATTATTGAATCTCTTACCTTTGGTTTGGTATTTTCTAGAGTGTCTTTGTTGTCTTAGGAACAGGTTATAAACATTGATTTAGTTAATTAATGGTTAGAATTTAGTAATTTCAATTAATTCACAAGTTACAAATGAGAACATCGATCAACTAGTGACATCTATCGTCAAAATAAATCGAATGTTGGATTTGTTTTGATTTTTTGTTTTTCTTTTCACTTTAAACTCGATCACTTTTTGTGGTTCATACAATGGATACTCTTTAATTGTTTTGGTTTTTTTTCTCCTTCCCATAGAGTCTAAATTGTTAATCATCAAGTTAATTCTGTTTCCAGGAAATTTTCTTTTATTCTACTGCAATTGTTTTCAATTTGTTGTTCATCCATCAAATGGGATCCATATTGATTCTTGGTCTAAAAGGTGTAGGTCAACTGACTATAGATGAAGATTAAATGGACAATTATAATGATAATGTTTACTATTGATTATTATTTTCCATTTAAATAGTGAACATTTTCATTATCTTCTCTTTTCATCGTCATCATCTCATATCTCTCATCTCGTAATAATAATATTATATCCAGGCAAAGTCATCTGAACATTCAACAACAACAACAAAACAATTAATATATTTGTCAACCAAATGATGTTTGTAAAATTGAACCTTATCTTGTTATAAGGTATTATATAAATACGTTTATATAATACAAACACTCATTAAGGAACAATATTATTATTATATTTACCAGGTAAAAGAGAGAGAGATAGAGAGACAATTTTTATCTTTTATCAACTATACTTATTAGTAGTTAATTGTATGTGATAATTGTGAAGGAGAGGATAGTCAGATAATAAGAATAATTTAAGTATCTTTACCATCATTAGAGTATGAGTGATCAAAGTGAGAACATTAATTGTTCTAGTGTAACTAGTAAACTGCTTGACAATTTACTAACTCTTCCAATTGAACTATCAACTTCACCTTCAATACAACAATCACAACAATCATCACAACAACAACAACAACAACAACAACAACAACAACAATCTTTTGACACCAATACAAATATATTCCAGTCTCAACAATCAACAACAACAATGCCCTCGTTAACCGTTGGTACTAAAGGTAAATCAACAACCACCACAACTGAATTGGGATCAATTAGTGTCCCCAAGAAACAATCATCACCATCAACACCTTCAACTGCAATTGATTTTTTCACCTTCAAATGGTTATTCAAGAAACGAGCTGTTCCTTTCTTAAAGAAATCATCTTCATCCATTTTCCCTGAAGCCTCAGATAATCAAAGTAATCAACATCACGGATCAAATTCTGTTGGTACAATTTCTTCAAATGGAAATGGACTCGATGGATCTCGATCTAATAGTCGATCAGCTGGTTCACGGTTAGACTGTCAAAGTATTCCAGGTACAGCTAAACCAACGAGTAAAATTTGTTCTGTGACCCAACCATTTATCTCTCGTCTCACCGAAACCGAATCAACTTTAAAATCAACCCTTCGAATGAAACTTTCCTACAGTTTCGGTGATATTGACGATTTCTCAAAATGGTCTTACCTGGACAATGGTGAAAAAGAACCATTAAATCCTGACATTAACGATGACCATTCATCCTTAAATCACCCTCATAATCACCATCATCATCCTCATCCTCACAATCATCTCCATCACCATAGGAATCATTCAAATGTCAACACTTCTCATCATAATTCAATTTCATCATCAAGTAAATGTCTCTTTCCTAAAAGTGGTAAATTAACTTCATCTTCATCAGCTTCAATATCTCACCTTCCCTCAACTCGTCGATCTGGTTATCATTATCGTCATGAATCATCAATTGGTACCCTGAGAAATCGTGAATTAGATTCAATTGAACGATGCTCTCTCTGTCTTAATGAGATATCACCTCAATTGATGCACACAATTTGGTCCTGTGGATGTCGTTTCTGTATCAATTGCCTACAAACTTACCTGACAATAAATATAAAGGAAAACAATAATGTTTGTAATTTAACTTGCCCTGATTCAAATTGTCCAGAGATAATCAAATTATTGAAACAACATCCATCCTCAACATTATCATCATCTGCTAGTAATAATAACATTTCCTCATCATCTGGTCCTAATCATCATCATCGTTTAATGACATCTCTCATAAAAACAATGTCTCCAAATCGTTTCACTCCCCAAGAGATACAATTATTGGTACCAGAGGAGACATTTAATCTGTACAAAAAGTACAAATTATACCAGGAAGTAGATGAAGATCCCAATCGAACCTGGTGTCCAAAGCCAAACTGTGTTAACATTTGCACCATAACAAAATGTCAAACTGTTTCTCTGCCCTCATCATCATCATTTACCTCATCAAAGTCAACTCAGTCCACAAAGATGTCGCTAAACGTTTCACCGGAACTGGACAAGGCCTCATTTTATTGTCAAAAGTGCAATGAAACCTATTGTAACCTATGCCGAAAACCCTTTCACCCTGGAACCTCATGTTGGCCTTCAGGAGAAGATGATGACCTTGCCCTTTTATTGAACAATCAAAGTGGCTCACCAAACCGTCTCAATAACATTAAACGCTGCCCTCGATGCTCCGTTTGGATTGAGAGAGACGATGGATGCGCTCAAATGATGTGCCGTAAATGTAAACACGTTTTCTGCTGGTTTTGCCTTCAATCACTCGAGGTTAGTGTTTTATTTTTGTCACTTTTTGCTTCCCTCTCTCACAAAACAATCAACTAAATTATCCCAATCATATGTGAATGTCTATGTGCGTTACTAAAATGATTAATTTTCACATCAAATCGATAATCATCTCCAAGTGGAAACAAATAACTCTATTGTTTTTCTACTTGTGAAAAACATCATCATCACAACATTGAAACATCAGATTAACCCATTAACTATTTTAACTACTGGACTCATTGATGATTAACGTTGTTGATGATGTTACATCATTCATCATCATCATTAGTATGATAAGATTATCACCTCAATCTTCAATCTGGATATTTTTTCAACATTTTCTTTTCTCGCCTCTTTTAATCAACAGCAATTAGATTCGTTGATCAAAAGCTAATTTTGAATATTAAAAAGGAAGTAAAAAAAACTCCATTAACCATAAAAAAGTCATTGTTTTATATTTAGAAAATTGATAATTTACCCTTACTCTCTCTCTCTCTCTCTCTCTCTCTCTCTCTCTCTCTCTCTCTTCCTTTCATCATGTACTGAGTATTTTTTTCTTCTCACGAAACAATTGTTTTTCCACCTAACTGTCTATTCTCCTCTTCCATCATCATTATCAGTCGATTCCAATCAATAATCTTTTTTTTTCCTTCTCTTCAAGTGGATATCCCATTGAGTCTTCAGGCCAATCTTATTATTACATAAAATCAAATGAGAGAAAATTTCATTCATATGATAGATATCGTAGGTTATATTATCGATATAAAGAAAAAGATAAAATTTGATTGATTAAGATGATGAAAATTCAAAATTTTGAAACAATCAGATGAATTGTATCAGAAAATCATCACCGATATAACAATTAAGTTGCATTAAAAAATTTAAGCTCCTTTTTTTTACTTAAAAACTAATTAATTCCAATTATGATCACAGTTATAATTGTAATCAATTAACCTTAAACATTATGATTATATCACAAAAAAAGACATCAATAGATAATATCAATGGTCAATCATGATGAATCTCCGGAAATCCGTTACTAATGGTGACGAATCTATTAATAGAAAGTTATATCTACATGATTGAAATTATTTTCTTTTTGCTATTCCTTCAACTGTGTGACAATTAGTTTAATCATAACTATCAACCGAGAATTAGTTTTCCTTTTATTAACAGTTTCCAAAGAGTGAATTAGTATTCATTTGAAAAGGGTGATCATGATAATCAACTGAATAATGAGTAGTTGATGTTTTTTTTTATTCATCATCCATAACCTTGTTAATTTATAACGATAATTATTATCATAATAGTAATAACTTACTGACGTAGTTTATTAATATCTTTGTTTTCATTTTTCTCTATCATTTATCTACAGGATGATTTTTTACTTCGTCATTATGATAAAGGACCTTGTAAAAATAAGCTAGGTCATTCCCGACCTTCGGTAATTTGGCATCGAACTCAAGTTATCGCTATTTTCGCTGGATTTGGTTTACTATTACTTTTGGCCTCACCCTTATTCCTAATCGCATCACCATGTATCCTTTGTTGTAACTGTTGTTGTGGTTCATCCTGCAAGTACTTAGACGATGGTGATCCCAATGAAGAGGAAGATGGATTCGGTGTTGTTAATCTGTAAATCATCATCATCATTATCATCAACATCATCCAACACCAAATCTACACATGAAATAGACAAACCTAATGAACATAGTTCAATCATCCTGATTAATATCTTTATCTTGTTATTATCAATTTAATTTTCATTTACGTTCACCAACCTCATTCATTATCTATCCATTTATTTATATCCATTTCTGACATTTATTTTTCTTCCACTTCCTCTTCCACCTCCTTCTCTCTCATCCTTCGTCTCTTAAATGCATTTGTAAATAATCAACATCCGCCAGGCGGGATTACTGAACTTTGATTGGTAAAAAACGAGACCTGAGTCCATTTAGAAAATGCTCTTCCTCCCGATCCTCTCAATAATATATATATATATAATATTCCTCGATTATTGTCATCATTATTGTCACCATTCTCATCGTCACTTCCACTTTCATCATCTTGGATACTAGAATGAACCACAATTAAGAGGATAAACATCAACAGCCACAATTTAGTGACACAACATCAACTCACCGGAGGGGAAAATAATTCTAACGGAACTTTCCAAACACACATATTAATCTATTATATATATATCGATGGTAGTGATCATAAAGATACATCGAACTAAATCAATTCCAATGACACAGAGATAACTACAATTAACTGATTGTTTTCATTCATTTTCATGATAATTTATCATTGAAAATTTTCCCACTTCATTTACTATACAAAAACAAAGCCAAAGGAAGATATGAAATCAAAAGATACAAATTGATTGTCAACATTCAGAATACACGAGGAATCAATTGTAACAATTAACAACAAAGCTGATCAGAGTTACAATCGAACATCTAATTTAGTTATTATAATAGTTATAACAATGATCAAAATTGATTAGACAATTTAGTTAATTACACTACTAAAACTGTATATACATATGTTTGTGTGTATACATATTTGACTAGTAAATTATTACGATATTAATTGTTACCACTTAATTATGATTGTAATTGGTTTTTTTATTAACCTCTAAAGGTCTTCAATGTGTTTACTCATTTAATTTTTTCCCTCTTCCTCCGTTTGATTAAACAATTAACGAAAAAAAGAAATGATTAATGTAATTAATTAGTTAATGTTTATTATACTTAATTACAATTAAGACTAATTTGTTGAAAAAAAAAGTTTGTTTTCTCAAATCTTTAATTTAGTTAATCAACTTGATGATAATCAAGGTAATTAAAAGGATTACCCATCTGTAGTAATTACAATTATCTTAACTGTGAGTATTTTAATTGTTAGATAATCTCTCTCTCTCTGTGTTGATTTTATTAATTAATGACTGATTAATTGTAATCTAACCTTGAATCGTTGGGATAAGACATTGACATTGGTGAATCAAGAATTGACTAGTTAATTGTTAACTGTTTAAATTCAAAGGCAATATAATGATTACAATTATTATTTATCAATCATGTGTTAACTTTAATTACATTAATTGGTCATGATTGATTTAATTGTTACAATGTAATGATAATAAAAGCAACAATAATAATAATGATACATGGTTGATACAAATTAGTTGATTGTGATGAGGAAACATGACAATTAAAGGATAGAAATTAATTCGTAGCCAACAAATTGAATCAATTAAGTTAATTAGTTGATCAACTGATTGTTTATATTTGTAAGTAATTGAATATTTTCTTTGTCAACAATCAATATCGAAACTGATTAAGACTATTGATAATTTTTAAATCCATTGATTAGTTACTGTTAATCAGCTGACAAATCAATACGATCGGATTAACAACAATTAAATGGAAACAAATGATTAAGTTAAACTAAAATCCTAACTTAATCTATTTGAACAATTAAAAATCTATAATTCTAACCATTAATAAGAAATGTAGTTAATCAAATAATCAAAGACAAAAACAAAAACAAAGATAATCAAAATGGATGAACAACAATTAACTTATCTGATAGAAACTAAATAAGGAAGTCATTGATATCTTTTAACAAAATGAATATGATTATCAATGAGAACAACAATTAGCTAAATACATTACATTGGATTAACATCGATGCACCAGTAATTGTTTACTGTAATTTGGAGTATCGTTTATGTACAGTCAACAACCAAATAATGAGACCGGTGTGTAAATTGTGATGACAACAGAAAAGGAAGAGGAAAGAGAAAAAGAAAGAGAAAGTTTTAATTAAAGATCTTTAGTTTAATTAAACCAAACGAATTGTCTCTTTTCATTTTCCCTTTTCTTTGAATGAATTATCTGAATCTCATCTCATATTTACCTTCTAATCGCAACGAGTTTTGCTCTTGTTCGAGTCCACTTAATCTAACAGCTATCAATTTATTCATTTTTTCTCATCAACTCCAAGTCTATTCTCTCTCTCTCTCTCTCTCTCTCTCTCTCTCTCTCTCTCTCTCTCTCTGGTCATTTCTTTTTACAAACGAAATATTTAGTAGGTCGCAAATGGATGAAGTTCAATTATTACACAATAAACGAATTAACAAGTTGACTCGAAATTCTTGTCATTCATTCTCATTACAAAGACGTAAAAAGTGGATTTTGTTCATTGTTGGTCTCCTTTTTTGCCTCTATTTGGGCTATTTTCTCGTCAATCCAGGAAATAAATCGCATGGATCAGCTCATCCATTAGTCCGAGTGTCAATTCCAACTGCATTTCCTCCGCTCGTTTATCCTCCTTCTCCACCGATTATCATCCTATGGACTCCTCCTTTCGATTCATGGATAGGAACAACGGATGTGCCTTTAGACTGTGATTGTATTGTCACTCGAAATCGAAGTCTCTTACCTCAAGCGAAAGTTGTTATTTTCTATTGGCGTAATACTAATCTCTCAGATTTGCCTGAATATAAATTTGAAGGTCAAACGTGGATCTGGCATACTATGGAATCACCGATACACACACGTAGACGCTCTGAATTACCTGTTTTCTCTGATTACGTTGATTGTTGGTCCAGTTATCGAGCTAATTCTGATTTTCCAACTCCATATGGTTTTTTTTCACCAAAAAATGAATCTCATCAATCAGATGAAGTTAGTGTTCCTTTTCAAAGAAAAGTCGTAATGTGGTCTGGATGGTTTCACATTGTCATGCTCCTTCGGGAAGGCATGAATATGTTGAAGAGTTAGCTCGTTACATTGATGTTGACATTTATGGTGAATGTGGTCCATTCAAATGTCCACGTTCCGAGGGATCACATTGTTACGAATATTTTGAGAAAAAGTATCGATACTACTTGTCTTTCGAGAATTCAATTTGTAACGATTATTTTACAGAGAAACTACTCAATCTTCTTAATTACACAATCATTCCGATTGTTCTTGGTGGAGGTAATTATTCATACGTTTTACCAAATCATTCGTATATTGATGCGCTTTCATTTAAATCACCTCGAGACTTGGCGATGTTATTACTGAGTTTATCTGCAGATGAGAGAAGATATAATTCATATTTTGAGTGGAAATCTCGATTCACAGTCAACAATAACGATTACCGAACACTTTCTTGCCAAATATGTCCCAAATTGAAACAGTTAACTCAAAATGAATTTTTATCATCAAATGTATTATGTAATCGTCGACATAAAGACTTGGATAATTGGTGGTACAATGAAGGATGGTGTAAGTCATGGAGTCCATGGAATCGATTCAAATTCTGGTCATAGTCAAGTAACTGAACAGTTCAATTTCGACTTGAACTGGCAAAACATTAAGCAAAGATTTTCACTAAACAATCAAGATCTAGTTCCACTATTTCAACAGTATAATTGTTACAGATTTTCTCACAAGCCAGTAACTTTCTCATTAAGATGACAATTACATGTAAAAGTGGTTTCAAATCAAAATCTAATCGCTTCCATTTCCAAATGGATCTTGAATTCGCTTATCATGTATTCTGAAGTTGTAAAAATTTTTGTTATTAAACAGTATTATTGTCATGAAATTTCTTGTTCTTGTGAATCAGCTCTCAGATCGATCGGTAAATTTAGTTAATGAAATGACCCATTGAAAAAAAAGGTTGTTTTTCAATCATTTCGATCTTTTTTACAATAAATAAAATCGGAAACTTTGCAATGTCTGATTCAGGAAGAAATTGATTTCTACTAATAAACAATGATATGAATACGATTAACGACGAGAACAATAATTAGCCGAATACCTTTTTTAGATTTCAATCGATGCACCAGTGGCTGTTTACTGTAATTAGGAATCTCGCCAATCATGAGACCGGTGTGTAAATTGTGATGACAACGAAAAAGGAAGAGGAAAGAAAGAGAGAGAGAGAGAAAGCTGTAATGGAAGATCTTTAGTTTAATTAAACCTAAAGAATTATCTATTTTTCTATCTCTAATTATCCAAGTCTTATTCATATTCCCTCTCTAAACAATCGTGATAATTGCAACTGATCTGTTTTTCTCATGTCCACATAATATAACCACCACCAGATTATCAACTAATTTTTCATTCTTTGGATCAAAGATCATCTTTTTTTCATCATCTCCAAGTCAAAATCTATTCTCTTTCTCTCCCCTGGCAATTACTTTTTCCGATCGAAAGCTTTACTATCTCGCAAATGGATGAGGTTCAATTATTACACAATAAACGAACTAATCAGCTAAACCGAAATTCACCTAATACATCACAAAGACGAAAAAAATGGACTCTGGTTATTATCGGTCTACTCTTTTGCCTCAGTTTTACCTATTTTGTTATCAATCTATCTTCTCGTTCAATCAGAGTCTCACCAACAACCATTAATCCTTTTTCATCACCGATTATCTTAATATGGACCGTTACCTTTAACTGTGGTTCATGGAACGAATCAACCAATTTACCTTTAGACTGTGATTGTATTGTCACTCGAAATCGAAGTCTCTTACCTCAAGCGAAAGTTGTGCTTTTCTATTGGAGAAATACTGATCTCTCAGATTTGCCTAAATATAAATTTGAAGGTCAAACGTGGATCTGGCATCATATGGAATCTCCAATACACACACATAGACGATCTGAATTAACCGCTTTCTCTAATTACGTTGATTGTTGGTCCAGTTATCGAGCTGATTCAGACTTTCCAACACCATATGGATTTATTTTACCAAATAATGAATCTCATAAATCTGAAAAATCGAACCAAGTTAATGCTCCTAATGCTTTCTTTGTAAATAAAAGTCGTAACGTGGCCTGGATGGTTTCACATTGTCATGCTCCTTCGGGAAGAGATGAATATGTCAAAGAGTTAGCTCGTTACATCGATGTTGACATTTATGGTGAATGTGGTCCATACAAATGTCCACGTTCTGAGGGATCACATTGTTACGAATATTTTGAGAAAAAGTATCGATACTACTTGTCCTTCGAGAATTCAATCTGTACCGATTATTATACCGAGAAGATAATCAACCTTCTTAATTACACAATCATTCCTATTGTTCTTGGTGGAGCCAATTATTCATCAGTTTTACCAAATCATTCGTATATTGATGCTCTTTCATTTAAATCACCTCGATACTTGGCAATGTTATTACGAAGTCTATCTAACGACGAGAAAGATACAATTCCTATTTTGGTGAAATCTCGATTCACAGTCTAACAGATTATCGAACACTTTCTTGCCAAATATGTTCCAGATTGAAACAATCAACCCAAAGTCGATTTGCATCCTCACCATCAACCAAAGATCTACAATTAAAACAATCAAATGTATTATGTAACCATCCAGATAAAGATTTGGCTAATTGGTGGTATAATGAAACCTCGTGTAAATCATGGACTCCGATAAATCAATTCAAGCTCTGGTCATTGAGCAGTTCAATTTGAACTTGAATTGTGAAAGCCCACTAATCAATCAAGATCTAGTTTCACTATTTACAAGTTATAATTATAATTTTTTAATCTACTCAGCAATCAATGCGATCGGATTAACAACAATAATAATATTTATTAATATAATGGAAACAAAATGATTCAGTTCAACTTTTCCAACAAGTTCATTAACCTAATCTATTATAATATTTGGACAATTAAACATTTATAATTATAATCATTGAAAAGAAATGTAGTTAATCAAATAATCACAGAGAAAAACAATAATCAATAATGTGTCAAAATTGATGAACAACAATTAACTTTTCTGCTAGAAACTAAATCAGGAAGTCATTGATATCTTTGAATAAAATGGATATGATTATCAACAAAAGATTTAGTTAAACCAAAATCTTAACGCAATCTATTTGAACAATTAAAAATCTATAATTCTAGCTATTAATAAAGAAGTTAACACGTTAAATTAACAGATTTGTTTCAGAATAACGAAGAACGACGTATCGTTGACAGATCAGATTGCGAATGGACTTGAGGAATAACCAGAATTTGTTTGACATCAGTTCGACGACCTTTCGGTGAGCCAAGAAATCAGTCCAATTTCGCTTTGAGAACAAAAATCATTTTTTCAACTTTAAAAAAATAAAATATTTCGCAAAATTTATCGAATAATTTTGGCCTACAATCAGTTTCGAACTTGATGTCAAACAAATTCCATGATCTGGTCTTATCTGCAATCTGATCTTGTCAACGATTCGCCGTTCTAATTATTCAAAACAAATCTGTTAATTTAACATAATCTGATTAATCAAATAATCGTGAACAAAACAAAGATAATCAAAATGGATGAATTCAACTAACTTACCTTATTACATTGGATTAATATCGATGCACAGTAATTGTTTTGTTGTAATTATGGTATCGTTATGTACAATCAACAACAAATAATGAATAATACTTTTAGCATTTCTGTACGATTATTAATAGTTTCTTAAATCTTGATATAAAATCGCAATAATTGTTAACAACAGTTAAAAACAAAATTATTAAACTTTCCCAACAAGTTAATTTATAATCTACTTGGATATTAAACATTTATAATTATAACCATTGATAAGAAATAATATCAGGTGACCAAGATGAGTGAGTAACTCACGAACCTTAATTTTAGACCTACGTTTCTGTACATTTTGAGAAAGTAGGTTTACGCTGAGTCCAAAATGTTCGGCTTTTTCTTAGGACGTACCGTTCTCGAGAAATCGAGTGGCCTAAAAGCGAACGGTCGACGGCTCATAACTTCATTATAAATTTCTCATAAAGAAAATCGCGATTTTGGCCTTTAAATAAAACAGGTGCATTTGACCTTCGAAAGTTTTGAAAAATTACTCATTAATATTTGATCGATGGCTTTCAATGACGCTTTGAACTTTATTCTAGAACCTACCATTCTTGAGATACTCATTCATTTCGCTCACCCGATAGTTGATCAAATAATCAAAATAACCAAACAATAATCAAATAGTGTGTCAAAATTGATGAACAACAATTAGCTAAATACATACATTGATTGACATCGATGCAGTAATTGTTTACTGTAATTATGAGTATCGTGTATGTACAATCAACAACAAATAATGAGACCGGTGTGTAAATTGAAGTGTAGACGAAAACGGAAGAGGAAAAAGAAAAAAGTAAAAGTTGTAATTAAAGATCTTTAGTTTAATATTAAACCAAAATTGTCTCTCTTTCGTTTTCCTTCTCGTAAGTTAAATTGTTCGAATCTAATTCACATTCACCTTCTAATCACAAAGAGTTTGATCTATTTTCGAGTCCACCCAATCCAACAGGTTACTAACTAATTTCTTCATTTTTGGATCCACAGTCATCTTTTTATTCTCTCTCTCCTTTGGTCGTTTTCCAATCGAAGCTTTACGAACTTACAAATGGACGAAGTCCAGTTACTATATAATCAGATTAACCAGTTAACCGAAATTCACTCATCACAAAGACGTAAGAAATGGACTCTGGTTATTATCGGTCTCATCTTCTGCCTTTATTTTACCTATTTCTTCATCAATCGATCATTTGCTCGATCAATCCGAGTCTCACTTGCATTTTCAACAACCATTTATCCTCTTTCACCACCGATTATCATCCTATGGACTTATCCATACGATTCATGGCAAGGAACAACGGACGTGCCTTTAGACTGTGAGTGTATTCTTACCCGAAATCGAAGTCTCTTTGCACAGGCGAAAGTTGTTATTTTCTATTGGCGACATACTAATCTCTCAGATTTGCCTAAGTATAAATTTGAAGGTCAAACGTGGATCTTGCATCATCTAGAGTCTCCAGCTAACACACATAGACTATCTGAATTAACCGCTTTCTCTAATTACGTTGATTGTTGGTCCAGTTATCGAGCTGATTCAGACTTTCCAACACCATATGGATTTATTTTACCAAAGAATGAATCTTTTGAATCAGACAAAACTAATGTTACCTTTTCTCAGAAAAGTCGTAATGTAGTCTGGATGGTTTCACGTTGTAGGGCCGAATCAGGAAGAGATGAATATGTCAAAGAGTTAGCTCGTTACATTGATGTTGACATTTATGGTGAATGTGGTCCATACAAATGTCCACGTTCCGAGGGATCATATTGTTACGAATATTTTGAGAAAAATATCGATACTACTTGTCTTTCGAGAATTCAATCTGTACCGATTATTATACCGAGAAGATAATCAATCTTCTTAATTACACAATCATTCCCATTGTTCTTGGTGGAGCCAATTATTCATCAGTTTTACCAAATCATTCGTACATCGATGCGCTTTCATTTAAATCACCTCGATACTTGGCAATGTTATTACGAAGTCTATCTAACGATGAGAAAAGATACAATTCCTATTTTGAGTGGAAATCTCGGTATACGATCGACAATAACGATTATCGGATAGTTCTTTGCCAAATATGCTCCAGATTGAAACAATCAACCCAAAGTGGATTTTCATTTTCATCATCAACCAAAGATCTACAATTAAGACAATCAAATGTATCATGTAACCGTCAATATAAAGATTTTGTTGGTTGGTGGTTCAAGGAAGGTTGTACATCATGGAGTCCACGAAATAGATTCAAATTCCGGCCGTTGAACAGTTAAATTTGAGTTTGAATTGACGAAGTTAAAAATTTTCACTAAATAATCAAGGATTCACAATTTACAAGTTATGATTATAACTTGTTGATCCACCAATTAATCAGTACAAATGTATTCTCAACAACAAAAACAATTTAAGGAAAACTCAGTGATCTATTTAAACGTTTCCAACAAGTCCAGCAGCCTAATCTATTTTGATGATTAAATATTTCTAATTATAATCATTTGTAAGATCTTACTGCTGCAGTAACTTTCTATCGGCGATATACTAATCTCTCAGATTTACCTAAATATAAATTTGAAGGTCAAACGTGGATCTTGCATTATCTGGCATTTCCAATGAACACTTTTAGACGATCTAGTTTATCCGATTTACCTGTTGAAGTTGAAGTGAATTACGTATTTAAGAGCTAAATGTTATTACTATTTATTAATTTGGTTCACTATTTGTTGTTTTTCTTTTTACAATGTAAGAATTTCCCTTTGTCAATTGGTTAGACATTATTGCTGAGATCAAGTTTTATCCATCGCTCTTTAATCTGGTTTGGTGTGGAGTTTGTCGATTAATGAAAATTATGAATAAATATCAATTGTATTCTTGTTAGAGATAAAAGGAGATTGTTGTTTTGTCATGGGAATTGGACGATTTTGTTAATTGTGGCGAAGTGGAAATTACTTCAAGGGAGTAAAAGTCCTTTGAGAAAAGCCCAGAAATGGGAAAGTGCTTGTTGTTGGACTTGTGTCTGAGCTGGAGTTTGATTAACGGTAGTGGTGAGATCTCGGGGTAAAAATGGCTTTAAAGAGGCCTGAAGTTTGTGCCAAAAAGTTTTCTCTTTAGTTGAGTAATTATCGGAAAATTTAATCGCGTCTGGACCATCAATATAATAATGAGCAAGTAGACGCTGAACAAGAAAAAGTTAATAAATAAAAGAAAAAAATAATTAGAAGAAAATAATTTTTGTTTAAAAATTTTTATCCAAAGTATACTAACCATGTCTAATAGTAAATCTTGTGTTAGAAATGAATCTCTGGTCACACTGTAAGTCATCTGCATGGGTCGCCCATATTCAAGGGGTTTAAATTCATTTGGAGGCATAACCCAAAAAGCTTGATACCTTGAGGTTAATCTTGGATTATCTTCATCGTAAGGTGAACAAATTAATCCAATACAGGGAATGTAAGTTGTAAGTTGAAAGAAGAAAATAATTATTGTTAAATATAAACCGATAAATCAATTCTGGTCATTGAGCAGTTCAATTTGAACTTGAATTGAAAAAGCTCACTAATCAATCAAGATCTATTTTCACTATTTACAAGTTATAATTATAATTTTTTAATCTACTCAGCAATCAATGCGATCAGATTAACAACAATAATATTTATAATGAAAACAAAATGATTCAGTTCAACTTTTCCAACAAGTTCATTAACCTAATCTATTATAATATTTGGACAATTAAACATTTATAATTATAATCATTGAAAAGAAATGTAGTTAATCAAATAACCACAGAGAAAAACAATAATCAATAATGTGTCAGAATTGATGAACAACAATTAACTTATCTGATGGAAAACAATTGAAACTAAATCAGGAAGTAATTGATATCTTCTAATAATATGAATATGATTTACAACCAGAACAACAATTAGCTGAATCCATTTGATATAAAAGATTAAATTGACAGGAAACAGTTAAAATCGATACACGAATAGATCACAAATAAGATAACCAAACAATCAATCAGATAATTAGAAGATGATTTCTGATTAATTGTCAATCAGAACAAAATGAAAACAATCAAACCAGAAAAAGAGATCAAGACATTAACCTTTAACCAGAAAGAAAAGGTAAAACCTCCTAAATGATTTAGTTAATTGTTGCGAATCAGTGTGTTGGTTAATTGGTGTAATCGAAAGGTTTCCCAATGTTGATTGTGTAGCAAAAAGAAAGAAGAAAAAAGAAAGTGAAGAAAGTGAAAGAAAGAAAGAAAACCAAAAGAAAGAGAAAATCATTTTTTCTATTTTCCAAAAACTGGTTACTCTCTTTTTCCTTTTGTTTACATTTGTTTTTCTTTCATCTTCATCTCTACTTAATATGTTTCATTTTTCTTCTTCTTCTTCTTCTTTGTAATTATTTGTAATTATTTGTTAATTGTTCGCAATTTAATCAACATCGTGTGTCCATTTTGACCTGTTGGTTGAAAAGAAGAGAAAAAAATTGTCAACAAAAAGTCATTTTTTCTCAATAGTTGCTGATCTGTAATTCCACTTTCTGTATCTCTCTTTTTCTCTGTTTTTATATCAATTGATTTTCTAATTACCAATGTGATTTAATCAACCTCTTTCTTTTCATCTTCTTCTATCATCATCAGTATTTTCTTCTTCTTCTTCTTCTTCTTCTCTCCAGAATGACCAATCATTCTATTCTTTTCTGAGTCGCCGATTTTCTATTGTGTATAATTGCCTTCTCATTGTGTATATTTCTCTCATCATTTTCTTTTGTTTAATTCTATCCAAAATTCTACCTCAACACAAATTTCTAATTAACTCCAATTAACCGTTTATATGTGTGTCATTTATTTGATTGAATTCGTAAAATCTGACGATGATTACAGTGATTAGATTAAATTGTCAGAAGAAAATGATCAATGGTTACTTTTATTCTGTAATGACACAAGATTTTTATCAACAACAAGCCACCGATACTTAAACCAGTTGAGATACAAGAAGAAAATTCAATCATCATCAATTATTTATATTCTAATAAGTAAGAAAAACATCTGAACATGTGATTCTTTTTGATTTATAGTCAACAAGATCAACTGTGTATTCGAATTGCAATTAATTTGGAATCTCGTTCATGTATCATATCTAACAAATTGTCTCTTTTTGTTATCCCTTCTCTTTAGATAAACTATCCGAATCTCATTCACTTTCTAAACAATCGTGGTAATCACAACGAGTTTTGATCTGTTTTTCTCATGTCCACATAATCTACCAGATTATCAACTAATCTCTTCATTTTTTTTCATCATCTATCCAAGTCAAAGTCTATCTCTCTCTCTCTCTCTCCTCCTTGGTTGTTTCTTTTTCCAATCGAAAGCTTTACTATCTCGCAAATGGATGAAGTTCAATTATTACACAATAAACGAACTAACCAGTTAACCCAAAATTCACTTAATTCATCACAAAGACGTAAAAAATGGACTCTGGTTATTGTTGGTCTCCTCTTTTGCCTCTATTTCACCTATTTTTTCATCAATCCAGCTGATCCATCAGTCCGAGTCTTGGATGTTTCAAACAAATTTCTTCTCAATGGTTTAAACCAACAAACACCCTCTCAACTTGCCGCCTATTCAACATCATCACTTTCACCAGCATCTCCAGCAATCATTTATCCTCCCGCTCCACCGATTATCCTCCTTTGGACCGCTGCCTTTGATAGTGATTCATGGTGGGGAGCAACTAATTCACCTTTAGACTGTGATTGTATTGTTACCCGAAATCGAAGTCTCTTGGCTCAAGCGAAAGTTGTAATTTTCTATTGGCGGAATACTAATCTCAAAGATTTGCCTAAATATAAATTTGAAGGTCAAACGTGGATCTGGCATCATATGGAATCTCCAATGAACACTTATAGACGATCTAGTTTAACCGCTTTCTCTAATTACATTGATTGTTGGTCCAGTTACCGAGCTGATTCAGATTTTCCAACTCCATATGGAACCATTATACCAAAGAATCAATCTCATGAATCTCACAAATCAGTTAGTATTCCCTTTTCAAAGAAAAGTCGTAATGTGGCCTGGATGGTTTCCAATTGTGGAGCCTCATCGGGAAGAGATGAATATGCTAAAGAGTTAGCTCGTTACATTGATGTTGACATTTATGGTGCTTGTGGTTCATTTAAATGTCCAAGTTCAAAAGGATCATATTGTTACCAGTATATTGAGAAAAAGTATCGATACTACTTGTCTTTCGAGAATTCAATTTGTTCCGATTATTATACCGAGAAGATAATCAATCTTCTTAATTACACAGTCATTCCTATTGTTCTTGGTGGAGCCAATTATTCATCAGTTTTACCAAATCATTCGTATATCGATGCTCTTTCATTTAAATCACCTCGATACTTGGCAATGTTATTACGAAGTCTATCTGCCGATGAGAAAAGATACAATTCATATTTTGAGTGGAAATCTCGCTTCACGATTAACAATAACGATTATCGAACACTTTTTTGCCAAATATGCTCCAGATTGAAACAATCAACCCAAAGTGGATTTTCATTTTCATCATCAACCAAAGATCACCATCAATTAAGACGATCAAATGTATTATGTAACCGTCGACATAAAGATTTGGTTAGTTGGTGGTTCAATGAAGGATCATGTAAATCATGGACTCCGATAAATCGATTCAAATTCTGGTCATAGTCATGCGATTGAACTTGAATTCATAAAGAAAAAGACGTAGAAGAGAAAAGGTTTTCAGAAAACAATCAAGATCTAAATTATTTCTAGTTAATTGATCATAACCACCATTATCTCATCATTGTCACCGGCAGCATCTTCATCCTCATTTGGTCATTTTTTGTATAACTCATTCCAATTATACTTACCAAATACATATCAAGTATATGTCAACATAATCAAGAGTTTCTTGTCAGATCAACAATTTAGATTAAATCTGGAAACATGTGAACCAATTGGCTGACATAATACGAGTTAGCAATTCAATTTCAAGTTCCAGTAAATTCGTGGCCTGTTGATTATCACGGAAAGTTGTTAAATCTCCCTTAATCCAACTGCAATCTCTAATCCAAGGAAGAATCTATATGGAAACTAAAAGAAAAATAGTATTTTATTATTACTGGTCAATCTACTGATTATGAGTGTATTTTAGATACACGAGAATCGCAAAAAAATTGGACAAAATGAATCGGATTAAGGTCAAGCCTAAACAATCAGATGGTAAAAGGTTAAATCGCCCCACATTTCATCCAATAATTTACCATGAAAACCTTGAATAATCAGCGAAACTATTACAAATTAACTTGTAACAAGTCTGTCCAACAATCAACTAATCAAAGTGATCCTTGAATCTACTCCTTTTCTGTCTCTCTTTCTAATTTTCTAATTATTCTGAAGTATATATTCTGAATATTGATGAGAAAATTTCAAACAATACAATCAGTTGAACCCAAATGAACAACAATTACAACCCGATTTTCTGATGGGACGATAAAAAACCCAATCAAATGACTGCAATTATCCAAATACTTTGGTTCCCATCGAAACGATCAACAATTAACATAACTGGTTGACAAATTTACTTACAATTTAAACTTAAACCTGGTCAATAATTTAAAGCAATTAACTGAAGAGCTCGTGAAATAATAATGATAATTTTTGGAGAATCAACTTGATAACTTGGAAAAAGAATTTGTCAAAATTTAATTCCAATTGAATCTAGTGTATTTGAGCGTTAGAAACTTTGTAATTGTTTGCAATTTAATGTGTTATTTTTTTCTGTTGATTATAAAGAAGAAAAAAAAGTTAATCACTGTCAATAAAATCGGCTGGTTGATTGTCCTATGTAACAATCTTAATTGTTTGACTTTAAAGAGAGAAAACGTTTTTTCTTTTAGAATTTTTTTTCTTTTCTTTTCTTTTGATATTACAGAATATGATAAAATGAAAGGTAGAGGAAATTTCATCAATTCTCTCCATCAATTCGAGTAACCAAAGTCCGAAGGATTTTTTTTTTCTGTGCAAATGGCTAATAAATTAACCCTCAGGGGGTTACGAGCTTTTCTGATAGGAAATACATTGAGGAGATGGAGAGATTTTGATTGTAACAATCAATTGGTCATGGATATTTTCCAATTAATCTTTGGTTTCTTTGTTTTCTTCTTCATCTTCTTCTTCGTCTTCGTCCTCTTTATTGTTCCCTGATTGTTTTGATTTACTGGTCGCCTTGATTTCCAATGATTGTGTACATTTATCAAGCCGATTCAATGTTGTCTTTCGAGCGCTTCTCACATCTTCCCGTCCATTTGAATCGATATTATCCAATTTCAACATGCACCTTGTTAGCATTTCATCCAGGTATCTATACTCTTTACCTTGATATTCTCCGTCAAACTTTTCCACCTCAGATTCCAGTTGATCGGCCTCACCATCAATCTCAGCGACCATTTCCAGAGGATCTTTTTTCAACCTCTTAACGTTGTTTACATTTTCGCTTGAAGTGTTTCCTTGCTTATTTGTTGTGGACCTTAAAAAATTGAACAACATCGAAAAAGACATAAACTTGATCGTGACTCGATCTCTAAATATCAATCAAAATAAACAATCACCTTAAGGGCAAAAGAAATCAAAAACTGTAAACACTTATATCACCACCACATTTGTAAACAAACACCAAAAAATTAACAATAGAAAAAAAAATTCTAATCGATTTCCTTCGATCTTTATTTCCAAATCGATTTTCGGCTATCGAACTAATCGAACCAGAAAAAATCGATCCTAATATCTAATCACTAACGAAATTGAAAGTGAAAATTTTAATTAACTGATTAACCGAATTGATTTATTTTGTTTTTTTTTCGGTGAAATTTCAATTATTTCAATTGGTTTGCTAAAGTTTTCTCCAACAAAATGGTTGACCAGAAAAGAGATACAACAAATTTAAGAAGTAAATTGTTTCGGGTTAATTGATGTAACGAATAAACAATTTTGACCTAAATTAGTGACTAATCAATAAGATGATCAATTAACAGTTCTAACAATTAGTGAAAGCATTAAATTTATGATAAATGGATGCAGATCAATATGGTTGATTAAATTGATCTTGATTAGTTTTGATTATAATTCCTTCCTTATGAAAATAAGTTTGTAAATGTTTGACCACAACCGATTAATTGATTAATTGTTGGTCAATATTTTTCATTAATTGTTGAAGTGAAAGTTTTATTCAAATTTAAACAAGTTTAACTGATTAACTTTCTCATCAATGGAGGAGTTTATCAACTGGACCATAGTTTAATTGATAGGAGGTGACTTTTGATCAGTTGGAAAGGTATATATATAAAAAACGATGATTTAGTTGGACAATCAACTAATCAGTGTTTTCATCAGTTCTAAGAGACTTGAAAAAATAATTTATCTTCTTTATCAAACTGTTTGATTGTGAGAAATCAATTAATCAAAGGTAATCAGTTGGACTTTTTTTTTCGTAAACATCAATTTTTCAGTGTTTTCTTGATTGTTGTCAATTGTGTACTCGTTGTGATATTAATCTAATCATTTGTCTTTCCTTGATTGTTATTGACATTAGATGAGGTCACCAACTATTTTCATTTGTTTATCAACTTTGGTGATCGTCTTACTGATTGTTGCCCCAGAATCTGGATCAGCTGGTCGCCGGAAGATGATGAAACTCAAGGGACTCGCAGCATTGGCACTTCTCATGAAACCCAAGAAGAAAATGATCCCGATTCCAATTCCAATCCCAATTCCGTAAGTAGTGAACAAAAATTCTGATGCAACGTTTCAACCTTTGACCTTCCCTTTCTCTGTTTGTTTAATTTGGAAAATGATCCAATCAGATTTTCCTCCGAAAAACTAATGATGAAGAAACGAAACTCAATGATCTTCCATGAACACGCCGTAGCCGTTTCAGCTCCACCCGCTATGGTTCAACACCATGCAAGCTACATGATGCCACAAATTGTCGCTCAGCCCCATGTTCACCCAGTAATCTGTTCCATGTCCTGATGATGCCACAAATTAATCGTTCTTAGCTCATTGAAAAAGAAATTGAATCTCATCTGATTGATTGATATTCATATTTCACGACTTGATTAGGATTCCTAGTAAATAATTCCCAAAACACTGAGTTTTCATCTTCTAAATTAATCGACTCAGATAATATCGTTATCATTTTCATCACTTCATAGAAAAAAAAACTTTTTAATAACAAATTAACTGAACAATAATTAAACTAAATGAGTCAATTATTGTTTCCATGTTAATTTTCATGGTAATGTTATGTAACCTAAATGTGTTTATTGCAAGAAAATATAATAAATTTCATGATAATTTATATATTATTTATATATTAAAAATAATTCATATACTGGTGAACATTTGTCCATCAAATTGATTAGGTTACATAAGAAAAACTTTTAAATTTCATGTTATTCATTCAGAACTTAGATTGATAATCATAAGGTTGATATTTCCATGATAGGTTTCATGAGATTCCAGATATTGAATTGAATTGAAATTAAATTAAAACTGAATTAAGATCTAACCTTAACCAATCATTTCCATCTTATAATATCCTCATATTTATTTCGATATCTTTCATCATCATCATCATCAGGAAACTTTCTCTCTCTCTTTCTCTCTCATTCTCATGAAATAAAATTCTATCTTTTGTTACATAAACAAATTTTAAAGAAAAAAAGTTCATGTAACAATAATAAACAAGAATTCATATTGAACAATGAGATTTTATATTATCATCATGATGGACAACATGAGGATAATGTTATCATGTTGTTCATCTGAGATTATTCCAAACGATTTTCTTTTCTAAATCATCAATTGAGTCTAATAATGAATTAACTTTTCTGTGAATGACAAGAAGAAAAGTCGAATCATATTCTTTTCTCTCTCATACTCATCTTTTTGTATAAGAAAATTAAAAACAACATGATGAAGATGATCAATTTGATAATTCGAATAAAAAAACCGTTTTTTTTCTCGACTATAAATTATTCTGATTCGAAGGAAATTGGAATCAGTTTGAACCATCAACCTTTTATATTGAGATTAAATTTTAGACATTGACCATTAATAAGTTGATTACAGTTAAAGTGAGTGGACATTAAGATAATCAAATATGAATAGTTGGTTATTAGGAAAAGTTTTCGTTGTTAAAAATTCATCAAAAAAGTTTTGTTCAATTTCCTCATGTTCAACAATGATAATGGTCATTTCGATGTCCATGTGTTTTCTCATGATAAGTTTACCTTTATCGGAAGCTCGAATTGACTCGAAAAACAAGGAAATGGACCCAAGCCTTTTGGAAGAGAAATTTCGATCTCCATCTTCCTTATCATCATCATCTTTATCAGCTGATATCTCATCAGGATCAGGTGATGTTCAACCAGCTTCCGATGCTCTTCAGCATTTCCTCAAAGAGCTGGACAGGTATGTGGCCATTGCAGGGAGACCAAGGTAAGAATCATTAAACTTAATCTCTATTCAGTTGAGACTAATTACAAGTTTACTAATGAAAACTTTGATTGATTAGCAAGATAATATTAATTATCGAATTATTATTAAACTGTAACAATTTTCCTCCTCGAAGAAAAAGTTACTTAGAATCATGATTATATAAGAAGGAAAAGTTTCTTATCTTTCTCTGAGTTTTTTTTCTTCATGAAATTTCCTCTGATTTGACAGGTTTCGATAATGTTAATAAAATTCTTAACTCGAAAAAGTTCTAATATTTTCAACTCGTTTTTACCTCATCATTTTCTTTCTAGATTTGGACGAAGTGCTTACAAACCTCGGCCTCTTTTGTCTGAATATTTGCTATCAAGGAATCTCAATGAATTTCCCATGATAAGATATTTAGATCACACAGATTAACGGCACAATTAAGAATCAACAGTTTATCCAAATCCTGGATCACTGTTATGATTAAAATGCGAAATTTCATTTCACTGTATTGATAAAAATAACTAATAAAAATCTTTTCCCTGTTTCGATTGTAAACTTAACACACGAATTTGTCTATCTCTTTCTATTCGGTTGATCAAATGAAATAAAATCGAAATATAAAATGATAAAGTTATCGAACTCAAAGAAAAGAAATGTCGAAAACCGAAAGGAAATCTATTCTTAATTCAATCATCAAGTTTAATTGTCGAACATAAGAGAGAAAAAGAAAAAGAGACTCTGTTGGAATATCGAACTTTCTTTGATTTTGGAAAAAGAATTCATGGAAAATCATGAGATTGAACAGGTAAATACTGAGATGAGAAGGGTTTAATAGATGGAGGTGTGAAATTACTTGGAGCGGAAAAGGAAAGTTACTTTTTCTTTTCTCTTTCTCTTTGTTCTTACAACCTTTTTCATGTTTTCTTTTTGTTCCAATTTTTTTATCATGATAACCTTTTCATGATGTTGTCCATACACACACACATACTAACATACATCACAATTTACTTTCCAATTGATCAATCTGCTAAAAATCGAGGTAAAAAACTTTCGTCGATACAAAAAACAAACCATTCATTGACCACTTTCAACATTTCAAAAGGTATCAAAGTGAAATCTGTCCAATGTTTTTTTCTCATTCCTCACAATCAATATTGATTGTTGATTGAAGACTTTCTTGTTTTCTTAAAAGTTCATCGTGTTGACTACAAACAATTTGATCTTGATGATAGTTTAACTCATTCTCAATATGATTTCTCACCTGTATCCAAGTTTAATACAATTAAAATTGCATCAATCTGATGATTGATAACATCAAATGTAGCGTTCATCAATCACACAGGTATGCTGAAGATGAACTACAGCG